GAGGGCTGAAGGTCCCCTCTATCATAGAGGAGCTGGCCTTGAGCTTCCTCCTCTTCTTTTGAGTCCAGCTGGACTCCTGAGTGGACTGAAGGCTTCCCTTCATTTGGTACTGTAGAGATCTGCTGAAGCGAGTTCTCATGAAGCTGTGTTTTGGCTCTTCTAACTAAAGAGTGCTCGAATTGCCTTTGAAAAGGATTATGTGTAGAAGGAGATGGAGGGAGAATTGGCTTGGCTTCATGGTTTTGCTTGTTGGCAGTCTTTAGTGTTGTGTTGGGATTAGTACTATTTAATATGGGATGGTCTCATTAAGTATATGAAGTTCTGAGTCATTGAATTTGATGGCTTCATACATAGGTGAGGTTGTGTTATTTCTTCCTGGTGAGAGAGCTTTGCCAGGAACTAAGTAATTGTAAAAAACAGCTACCATTTCTATGATGCCAGCTGACACCCTACAAGCATTCTGCAAGTGCTTATTTTCTCATCACCGCGCAGTATAGGGACCATTGTTCGCCTTGTTTTTCAGATGAAATTATCTCATCTGTCTCAGACGCTGTAGACACAGTCTGCCTCAAAGGGTTTGCCCTTAGTCCTTGCTCTCCACCTCCAGCTAGAAGTGGAGAGAGAACTGTAAAAGGAGTGCAAAGTTTGGCGTGCTATATAGATTATCTTTGAGAGATAATGGGAAAGTAATGCAGTTTACTGGCTGCGTATGGTGAAGGGGAATGAGTAATTATGGGTTACTTCAAAAATTTAGAGCTGACCTCAAGCTCTGCAGGGCTGTCTGGCATTTTCTTCCCTGTGGTTTTTTTGGAAGTACTCGGCCGAGTTGGCTGATGGTAATAAGACAGCATGCTAGCTTCCTTGTCAGACACAGGATCACTGGAGGCCTCCCACCTGGCTCTGCCCTCTCCTGCCTCCTCCCTTCCCCTCACCAGTCCCTGAAGCTGTGACCTGTCATGCTGCTCCCCACTCCTGCTGACTGTTGCTCACTCTGCCCTGCCTTCACATCTCCAGGGGGTCATTTCTTTCTTCTAAATTCCTGACCTGCCTTCTAGTTTTAATTTGAAGTCAGAGACTCAGGCAGGAACTCTCTCCAGGCTAACTTCCTAACTTGCTTGTTATTCTGGACAGGTCAAAGGAAATCATCATTTAAGGATGCTCCCCACCCCCCACCCTGCTCCATCTACCTCACAGTGTTATAGTGAGGGTAGGCTAGAGTAATTCATGACAGTGTCTTGTAAAGCAGAAAGCAGACCATGATATATGCATTATTAATACCCCAAACTTGCCTGTGTGGGCTGTCTACTTCTTGCTTTGGTGCCCAGTATGGGCTTCAGCTCTGGTGCCCTGGCTCTTGTTGCTTACGTTCACCTGTTCATCTTGATGACCTTGGCTCTTATTCTCTTTGAATTTCTAAGCACTTGGCAGAGTCCTATTTGGCATTGATAGGGCACAAGAAGTGAATGAATTAGTTAAAAAAGCCTGTCTATAAGAAAGTTTGTGGTAATAAGGTTCCCCCCTCCCTGAGCAAACCCATCCTTTATATCTGTTCTTAAAGTTGGTTTTGCTAAAAATACTTTTATTCCATTTTTTTTCAAAGCTGAGGACCGAACCCACTGAACTAAATCCCCAACCCCCTTTTATTCCATTTAAACCCCCGCCCCCAGGATGCTAAATTCCAGTGCTTTCTGTAAGACCTGTCTTTACTTTGTATTCTCTGGATCTTGGATTATATGTGTAAAACATTTGTTATTCAGACTTTGTTCATTCACTTCACAAATGGGTAGCCCAGGTCATTTCCTGGGACAGAAGGGGCAACAGTGAACCATGAAAATAGAATTCTTGCCTTCATGTAGTCTCTGTTCTAACGAGGGTGCCAAGTGATACAGATGTAACTGAATAAGCTTGAATTTTGGCTCATTTTAGTACTATCATTGATTAAGACTCCCAGGACAGTGAAGAGTTGTGAGATGGTGTAGATAAACCGAGTGTGTTATTAGTGCTATGCCTGGCTTACTGTGTACTGGATGACCTTGAAGGCATCTATTTGTCCTGCCAGTGAGAGCTTTAAGCTCTTATCGAGAAGAAAGACTGGGTGGCTGAGGAAGGGGTGGTTGCTGCCTGGCCTTTTGGCTTCAGGAAAGCATTGCGGTCTTTACGGAAGAACCTCAGTTCTTGAAGCCTGTCTTTGTTCTGGTTGCTGGTATTTTGAAAGTCTTGGAGAGACCAGGGGCCAAAGAATAAGGTGGGAGAGTTGCTGATCATTCATTAGCCTTTCCTGGATGGATTGATGCTCCTGTACCCTTAGCTCCCTGTAAGGGAGTAACTAGTTTCCCAGTGGCTTCCCGAGTCTGGAGCTCTTTCACTGCAAGTAAGAAGGCAGGAGATTGCCGGGCGTTGGTGGCGCACGCCTTTAATCCCAGCACTCGGGAGGCAGAGCCAGGCGGATCTCTGTGAGTTCGAGGCCAGCCTGGGCTACCAAGTGAGTTCCGGGAAAGGCGCAAAGCTACACAGAGAAACCCTGTCTCGAAAAACCAAAAAAGAAAAAAAAAAAAAAAAAAAAGAAGGCAGGAGATCGGATGAGAAGTACAGAGTGACACTTGGGACATCTGTGAATTTCTTTGAGGTATTAATGAGCGATCCCATTTCTGAAGGATGAGGCCAAGCCAGCTGTAGGATGATCTGGGAGTAAAGCCAGTATCCCTGAGGGGATCCAAGTGGAAAATATGTTTGGGGACTTGGAGGACTGTAAAGATGTCACAGAGGGTAGAGTGTAGGGCCTGAAGGGGACAGTCAGTGCAGTGGAGGTGGATATTAGGGATAAGTGCTCAGAGGAGGTGCAGACAGGCTGCCAGTGGGGTGGGGTGTTTCAGCTGACAGTGAGAGGTGACGGGGGCCACCTCTGCTTAGGGCTCTGGCAGAAAGGGCATTTAGTGCCAGCCTTGCCACTGGGTTTTTAGCTGTAGTTAAAATATACACAGTCCTTCCTGCCAGTCTGCTTGCACCTCCACTGTGTGACTTCCACCCTGTTCCTCCCCTGTCCTGGGGCGTGTCATACTGCTTCATTCCTCAGGGCATGCTGCTGACCAATCAGGTCTTCTCTGTTAGATACAGTCCCTGTCCTCACAGAACCTACAGTCCCACCCATATATCACTAAACCCCTGAACTTAGCACAGTATATGGTTGATATTTTCTTAAATCAGTTGACTAAAAGAAACACCCTACAACAGTCAATGATAAAATAATGACTACCACTTGTATACCTACAAGCAGGAAATCCTGAGGTCATCCAAACATAAATGTCATGTTGCAACAGGCAGATTCTGAGTAAGGCTGTCAAGGATTCCTAGAAAGACTGTGTAGCTCCTAAGAATGACAGTAGTCGAGCATGTAGTTCAGTTGATAGAGTGCTTGCTTAGCATGTGTGAGACTCTGAATTCGATCCCTAGTGCCACATGAAACCAGACATGGCACTGGAGAAGTGGAGCCAGGAGGATTAGAAGTTCAAGGTCATCCTCCACTACATAGGGAGTTGGAGGCCAGCCTGGGTTATAGACTTTGTCTCTAAATAAACTAATACACAAGCAAGTGTGTAAGTAAATACAGAGATAAAAGAATGATAGCATATATGTAGGCTGATGTTACTTTCCCTGTGCCTGATTTCACCAAGGTAAATTTGTCAGCTACTAGGAGTCCACTGTTTGGTGGTGTTTTATTTGGGGCAGTAAAAATAATATGAAATTGACAACTCATATGAGTTTATAAACATCTTTGAAGCATTATTCTAAAGAACTTGTAAAAAATTTTACATAAAAGGGCCTTCTGTGGTAACCAAAGGAAGTCCTGTAGACTGTGCTGTTTGTTACTGTTAGCTGTATGGACTTGGGCATTGCAGTGAGTGTGCCACGTGAGTTTGCAGTATTAATTAGGACTGCAAACACAGGGAATGTTATTCTGTTACAGATTGAATGGCACCATCGGTTTCTTTTCTTAGTAATCTTTAGAATTTTGAGACTGTTTCTAATTTCCCTTCCATGTGTAATTCTACAGCATTAACTCCAGTAATCAGGATCTTGTAATGGCACAAATGTCTTAGAAAAATGGGCAAAGTTTGTTGAAAGTGGATAACCTCCCCAGCTTTGAGGTTTTTTCCTGGGTTGATCATACCCCAAGGAAGAAGGAACCCCAGCGGGATAGTAACTGTACCACTCACCTCTCTGGCATAGAGCTCCTGACCTTAGCAGAACCATGTGGCACAACGGGAGCACTTGATCCACAGTATCGAGGGGGTGTGAGGGCGGGAAGGAAGGGGACACATGTGAACCCAGTGCATGTGGCTGTAGGGTTGTATTGGGAGGACATGCTAGGTCACTTGAACTGGTTTCTTTGTGTGCCTAGATAACTGTGGTGGTGGAGAGGGAGGAGAGGCTGATCTGTGTAAGACCTCCACCAGTTACTTTCTAAATGGCCACAGACCGATCCCTCTTTGAGGTCCCTGTCAAAGCTGCCTCTTCCGTGAATCTCCATGCCTCCTTCTCCCCAAAGAAAACTCAATAGTTCCTCCAACCTTCCAGCTGGTCTGTGTGTATTGTCCCCATCAGTTCTGACCTTCTTTCCTGGGCCTCCCTGGTGGCCGAGCATTTGTGTGGTGACTGGTGCCCTGTGCACTTCTGACCTCTCTTAGGTGAATGAACAAATGAGAATACAGTTTTGTTTTTTCTCATGAGGGTGTAAAACTAGCTTTATTTTCTTTCATTTCTGAAAATGTTTGTGAATTTGTTCTTGAAGTTTGTTTTATTTATTTATTTCTTTTGAGACAGGGTCTCTCTGTAACAGCCCTGGCTGTCCTGGAACTCACTTTGTAGACCAGGCTGGCCTCGAGCTCACAGAGATCCACCTGCTTCTGCCTCCTGAGTGCTGGGATTAAAGACCTGAGCCACCACACTTGGCTGTATTTGTGAATTCCAATAATGATGTAAATGCAAACTTCTCTTTTCAGATAATGTGGATGCAAGCGATCTGAAGCAGTTTTTTGAGACCAACTATTCTCAGATATATTTCATCTTCTATGAAAATTTTATAACACTGGAAAATAGTTTGAAGTTAAAAGGTAAGCATTTCTACAACTCTTTTTGAGTACACAGGAAATTTCAGACGTTATGCTGTTGTGAGCCACAAGTTCTGCATTTTTAACTTTCTTTCTTCCCAGGCTTTGAGACATCACTCTGGTGGACTGGTTGGCATCTCTCTGTCCCTTAAGTATTCCCTTACACAGGTGTTAATTGAAAAGCAGATGGCTAAAATGAAAAATAGAAGGAACCCACAGAAGGCATGGATTCCAAAGGGACAAATGATTTAAAGAGCAAGGGAGAAAAATAATGCATGGACATTTAAAAAAATATCCAGATTTAAGCTGCATTTGGTGGCACAAGCTATAATGCCAGAATATGGAGGCAGAGGCAGGAAAAAACAAGACCTACATAGTGAGACCCTGCTACAAAAGCCAAACAGTAAAAGAACACCAACATGAAAATCAAATTCCATTAAAGGAGCTGTGAAATGAAAGTCAGGTGTCTCCTTGCCTGTACCTTCTGTCCTTAGAGATTATTTTTTATTATCAATGAGTTTTGTTTGTATATGTTTTCATATTTATGCCCATATGTAAAATATTCTATGGAAAGCAAACCAGCCATGGGACATTTATCTATCTATCTATCTATCTATCTATCTATCTATCTATCTATCTATCTATCTATCTATCTATCCATCATCCATCCATCCATCATCCATCCATCCATCCATCCATCCATCCATCCATTCATCCATCCATCCATTTATTGAGACAGAGTTTCTCTGTGTTGCCTTGGCAGTCCTGGAGCTCTCTCTGTAGACCAGACTGGCCTCGAACTCATAGAGATCTGCCTGCTTCTGACTCCTGAGTGCTGGCATTTAAAGGCATGCACCACCACTGCCTGACCAGCTCTGAGGATTTGGGTGAGGGGATTGTGTAGCTGGGAAGCCAGACTATCCTCACCCTTCTTGCTGTTTCTCCTTGAGCATCACTTGGCCTGTCTGTGTTGGTCTGCTGTGAGCAGCAAGCAGGCTAACAGATCCACTAGGATTTCAGCACAGAGCCTGGCACAGAGCACCTGGTCAGTAAGGACCGCCTCTGTCTTTGCCTTTCCATTTCATGTCATCTGTCTGGGAAATGAGGAAAAACGGAAGTGTTTTTCCCAGTCTCTCACACCAACTCAGCATAACATTCTGCTGCTAGTCTCCAGCAGACATCAGCTGGTGCCCATTAACTCCATTCAGTCTTGCCAGGCTCCTGGGAGCTAGTTTCAGATCCTGCAGGCTAAGGGCTGAATGCCACATGGCCACACCCTTTAATGTAAGTTGCAGGTTCTAGGTTGTCTCCTGTGCAGTGACAGACTGACCATAATCAGGAGTCTAATAGTCTCTTCTCAGGGTTGGTTAATTTGCTAGAGGGGTTGGCAGAATGTAGGGAAACAACCTTACTTATTTGTATCTATTACAAATGTTTTGTTCATTTACTGCATTACACATGAATAATACAAATTTTAAAGAGCACCTACAAGCAGCCAGATAAAGAGCTGTGTGTGAGGTCTGCAGGTCCTGAACACAGGAACTTCCTTGCCATGAAATTGGAGAACACTACTCTGCGTGTACATGATACATTCTTCTTCACAAACTGAGAGTTAGCTCCCTTAGCCAGAATCTTTGGGGTTTAATGGAGGCTTCATTATGTAGGCATGATTGATCACTCTATTAGTCATTGGTGATGAACTCAGCTGAAGGTTGTAGGTGGGTGGATGGAGCTGAAAGTAGGATTTGAAGTGGAGAACAGCATTGCAGGTAGAGGACAGAGCTTGAGCAAAGGCTGGAAAGTGCCCTAAGGGCATGTGTGGGGAATGTGCTTCTTTTCCTTGCATCATAAGGTGTGTGAATGAGATAGGGAGGAAATCCCCTTAGGTTTGCCAGGAGCCTTGACTTCCATGCTAAGGAGTTGGGACTTCGTTTTTTTTTTTTTAGTTAGAGCCCTTAAAAACGTTTGCTTCCGAGACAAGTGTCCTGTTAAGTGGTGAGTGCATAGAGCACAGAGGTGAGTTGGGGGGCTGATGCTGTCACCCGTGTGAGAGCTGTTACTCTGCTGGAGAACTGTGGAAGACTGACACAGCAAGGTAGTAGTTAGGGGAGGAGAAAGAGTTCCTGTGAGACTGAAGACAAAGGAGAGGGAGATGTCAAAGAGCCATTCAGGGGCCCAGTTTGACTTATGAGGTACCACTGTAGCTGCAGAAACCTCCGAGAACAGCATTTGGGAGGCAAGAGGATGAAGGCAGCTCTGACTCGTCTGTATTTGAGGTACTTGTGGGACACAGGAATAAGTGTTGGCTGGGCAGCAGAAATACAGGTTATCTGAGCTTGGGAGAAGGGGGTGGAAGCTTTCTGTTGCTGAGGGAGAAAGTATATCAAGGAAAAGGGAGTCAGCAAATGAAGAGGAGAGGGATAGATTAGTGGAAGGGTGTTAGGAAATCGTGTGGAGACAGAAGCCCAGGGGAGAGATTTCAAGGCTTGCAGGATCAGAAAGCCTGATGATGCCGAAAGATGAGGTGCAGTGGGGTTAGGGAATGAGAGCTCACGTCCGACCTGAGGACAGTTTGCGGTGAGGAACTATCAGAACTTGACAGGTGGACATGGAGCAGAGGGGTGGAGAGCGGGGAAAGCACCCAGGGAGGGAGCTGTGATGTGTGTCCTGGGCCGAGCTGCTAAGGGCTGTACCTACCTGCAGGCAGTCCGAGGAGAGGTAGCAGATAGTAGTGTGGGGTTGGAGAAGGGAGTCAAGCAAACAGTAGAGAGACAGAGGCAAGTACAAAGTGGCTTTTCTGTCTACGGAGAAAAGCTAGAGGATGAATGTAGTCAGATATTTTGGAGGACAGGAAAGAAAACCTAAGGGCTTCCTGAAGTACCCCAATTGCTGTGATCAAACAGAAGTGTGCCCTCTTTGTGGAGGGTAAGGATTAGTGGGCTCTGGTTTGCAGCAGATGACATAGTAGCCTGTCCTGGGATGCTGGCATGTGCTTTTCTTAAGGTGTTTCTCAGTTTCTATCTCTGATTTTTAAGCTGGTATAAATCTTGAACTTGAGAAAATTTATTTTGGCCCAAAGGGAAGATATTCCAAATTTGGAATGATCCGTATTTGCCTTTCTAGTTTTGCTCTACTCTACTCTGTTTTACAGGTATGTGGAAGAGAAAAGGGTCATGTTATTTGCAGTCAAAATAGCAATGAGCTGAGTACGGTAGCTCAAGCCTTAACCACCCCCCACCCCCCACCCCCACCCCCGCACTCAGGCGAAGCAGGAGGATCTCTGTGATAACCAGTAGGAACAGGGTGACTGAAAATAATTTTGGACAATTGGCTTTTTTTTTAGATCTGATATTTTAATTTTTTCATTCCTATTTTGTTTTTGTTTTGGGGTGTGTGTGTGTGTGTGTGTGTGTGTGTGTGTGTGTGTGAGTGTTGAAACAAGGTCTCACTATGTAGCCTTGGCAAATCTCAAACTCACTATATAGACGTGGCTGGCCTTGAAGTCACATCCCCTAGCCCACATTGAACACCAAAGCATTTAGTATCCTGGTACTAGCCTTAGAAAGGGTCTCCTCGCTTCCATTCTTGTGCTTTCTTCTACCCCCAAGTTTCTTTTCAAAGGAGTGCTGAAGCCATGACTTACATGATCACTGAGGCTCTAGTCCTTAATGGCTTTTCATTCTCAAATTACTGTAGTGATTTATCCTGTCCCTGATCTGCCTTCCTTTGCCACACACACACCTACTCTCTGAGCTTATCTGCTCAAATCTCCCCCATCTTTGCTCTAGCCTCCGGTCCTTCTGGCTGTTTCCTGACCTGTCAAGCATGCTCGGCCACAGGAACTTTGGTCCAGTCTCCCTGCCTGGGGTGTGTGTGACTCCCTCAGATTTCTGTGTGATCTGCTTCTTTGGCCATTGTGCATCTTTGCCTAGTTGTCAGTTTTCCAGCAAAGTATTTCCCAACTTCCCAAGTCAGATTTGCATATTGGTTTAGGATTCCTCATTTGCTTTTGTTCATGGGTTTCTAACTAATTTATAGTTTGCCTCCTCCTGTCAAAATGTAATCTTCCCCAGAACAGGGAGTGGTGTTTGTTTGGTTCACTCCTTTGTCCCCAGGGCCTAGCAGAATTCTTGAGAAACAGATAGTTTTTAGTATTTGTAAATGAATGAATGATAGCTACTTCTTGGAGCTATGAGGATTCAGTTAGGTCAGGAGCCTGCAACTGATAGCTCACTTGACTTTTGGTATTGTACTTGTTGTTGAGACAGGTTCTTGCTCTGAAGCCTGGGCTGGCCTTGAGCTCCTTGGAGTTCTTGGCCTCCCACACTATCAGAATTAGGGTTGTGGGCCACCATGCTCCACTGGCTTCATTGGTTATAGTCAACTCCATTCATTTACGTGCAGCCTGGGGCAACAGAGTCTGATAGTTGCAAGAGAGATCTGAAAAGCCTCAAAGATTTACTCTCGGCTGATTCTTAAGTTGGATGACTTAAACTGCATGCCTAGCACCATGTCTGGGACACGCTATAGACAGTAAATGATAATTCCTGCTGGAGGCAGGTGGTGCAGTTTTTATGTTACCACCTAGTTAATGTTACCAAAAGGGCATTGTGGGGCTGCGAATATAGCTCAGTTGGTAGAGAGCTTTCCTACCATGCAGGAAACCCTGAGTTTGATTCCCATGTCACATAAAATTGAGTATGGTGGCACACCTTTTGTAATCCTAGTACTTGGGAGGTGGAGGCAGGAGAACCAAATCTTCACAGTCATCCTCAGCTACGTATCAAGTTGGAGGCCAGCCTGAGCTACAATGAGACCCTGCCTCAAAAATAAATAAATAAATAAATAAATAAATAAATAAATAACAAAAACAAAAAACAAAAACCCCCAAAACAAAGTGTGAAATTGTACTTTTCTCTATAGATGTTCATGCTCTGTGCTTGTTAATATTGTTTGTCCTTTGCATTTTTACCATAATTTGATTTGGTGAGTACCTAGTTAAGAAACAAATTTAGAAAACATGGACGTTAGCTTTGAAGAGCTAGTATAAGAGAGTAAGAGGCAATTGTGATTGATATGGGCCTGATGTGCCAACTCAGGTCCCTCTTCCTAGCTCCCCTGCGTCTCTGTAGTTCCTAATGCATGTCTGCAGCATTTAAGATGCCTTTCAGCATCATGTGTGATACTCTATTTTTTTTTCCGTTTTTTTTTTTTTTTTTCCATTTTTTTTTTTTTTTTTTTGAGACTGGGTTTCTCTGTGTAGTTTTGGCGCCTGTCCTGGATCTTGCACTGTAGACCAGGCTGGCCTCAAACTAACAGAGATCTTCCTGTCTCTGCCTCCCGAGTGCTGGGATTAAAGGCCTGCGCCACCACTACCCGGCTCATGTGTGATACTCTGAAGCTTAAGTGCTAGCATACTGACTAATTTCTTTTTCTTAATTTCCAGGGAATAATAAGTCACAAAGGGAGGAGCTGGACTCCATCCTCTTTCTTTTTGAAGTAAGTTTTGGTTGTTATTATTATTATTATTGTTATTATTATTATTATTATTATTATTATTTTAGCTTTTATAAAGTCCTTGTTAAAAACAAGATATTTTATTTGTTCCTTAATTTTACCCGAAGATAAATAGATATGACTGTGCATGGCTGTACCCTGCCCTCTACCTACTTTTACAACAGATACTGCTAAAAATGTTCATGTGATTTTTCTTTTTAAAAAATGTACTGAAGTTTCCCTTGTATGAACAACTAGATGTAAAGGTACTAGTTGGAAGAGTAAACACATTTTAAATAGTAATAGCTTTTGCTGTTTTCCTTTTATGTGAGTTTTACATAAATGTTCTCTGTCCCCAAACTATAGGTGACCTGTCTTACTGACATGTGAATCTGACATACAGAAACTCAGTTTTTCCACATATATATGGCATATTTTAAAATTATTTATTTGTATGTGTATGGGTGGGGGTGTGTTGCCTGCATGTGTGTCAGATTGCTTAGGACTGGAATTACAGGTGGTTGCTAGATGCCTTGTGTGTGCTGGGATTGTACCTGGGTTCTCTTGAAGAATGGCCAGTACAGCTCTTAACCACTGAGACTCTCCAGCCCCTCAATAAATTATTTTTGACATTGATGGGGTTATGTCTCTGTGTACATAGGTAGTCTTTAAAGCTGGAATGATGTTTGGCTGTGGGTTTTTAAAAATTAAATTAGATTTTATTTGTGTACATGTGCATAGCTGTGCCACAGGCATACCCCACAGCAAGCGTATGAAGGTCAGGTGACAATCTGCTACAGTAAATTCTCTCCTTTCCCCACGTGGGTCCCGGGGATTTAGCTCAGCTTGTCAGGCTTGACAGAGGGGCCTTTACCTGCTGAACTGTTTTGCCAGCCCCTTGGCAGTGTTTTTGCTTTTGAACGTTTTTGAGACAGGGTCTCTCCATGTAGCCCTAGCTGCCCTAGAACTCCATATAGACCATGCTGGTCTTGAACTTGAAGAGATTGCTTTTGGCAATGTGTGTGTGTGTGTGTGTGTGTGTGTGTGTGTGTGTGTGTGTAAGTGTGTAATATAAAATTCTTCTTACTCAAAAATGTACTAGGCAGGTGCTAGATTATGAACACCAGAAAAACTAGAAAACTAGACTCAACTACAGATTAATAAATTATAAGTTAAGAAAAACATTTACTTACTTATTTGGTGTGTGCGTGCATATTTCACAGTGCTTATGTGGAGGTCAGAGGACAACTTTTGGGAGTTGGTTCTATCCTTCTACCAAGTGGGCTCTGGGAGCAAACTCAAGCACTTTTCCAGAGTGAACTACGTAGTGGACCCTCTAGATTATAAATTCAGAATGTTAATTATTCATAGTTTGAAGTAGTGTGTGCATAGTTTGGTGTAAGAAGATAAACTGGGGGTTGAGGATTTAGCTCAGTGGTAGAGTGCTTGCCTAGCAAGCACAAGGCCCTCAGCTCCAAAAAAAAAAAAAAGATAAACTGAAGCTGGCCAGTGGTGGTGTATGCTTTTGATCCCAGCACTCAGGAGGCAGAGGCAGGTGGATCTCTCTGAGTTTGAGGCCAGCCTGGTCTACAGAGTGAGTTCTAGCACAGCCAGGTTACAAAGAGAAACCCTGTTTCAAAAATGAATGAATGAGTAAATAAATAAATGTAAAAAGAAAAGTGTGTATGGGGGTAAGTGTACATGCATACATACCTGTGAAGGGCTTAATGATATGCACCTGTAATCCTAGCATTCTGGAGGCTGAGGCAGGCAGATCTCTGTGAGTTCAAGGCCAGCTTGGTCTACACAGAGAAATGCTGTCTTGAGGAGGAGGAGGAGGAGGAGGAGAAAATAGTATAGAAGAAGAAGAAGGAGAAAGAGAAGGAGAAAAGGAGAAGGAGAAGGAAGAGAAAATAGTGTTACCTGGCTCTGGGGGTGGCTCAGTGGGTAGAGCACCTGCCACACAAGCCTGACAATCTGAGTCGGGATTCCTCAGAACCCACTTGAAAAGCCAAATAGGGTAGAGGAAATGTCTAGAATCCCAGCATACCCCGGGGCTGGGGATTTAGCTCACTTGCCTAGCAAGCCCTGAATTCGATCCTCAGCTAAAAAAAAAAAAAAAAAAAAATCCCAGCATACCCCTACTGGGAGATAGGAGAGTGAGACAGGAGAAGCTCTCAGGGCAGCTTACCTTGTACACATAGAAATGAACAGGAAAGACTCTGCCTTAATCTAAGTAGAAGATGAAGACTGACATCTGAGACTGCTCTTTGACCTGTGAATGTATGTCATGGTTGATTTTTGTACACACACACACACACACACACACACACACACACACACACACACACACACACACGGCTACTGCTACATGTACTCTTGAGTAATTTGTTGTGTACTTTTGTTTGGTTTTGAGTGTAACAGAAGCATCATCATGGCATACTATCATCTGTGACTTGTCTAGTGCTCCCAGCTTATTTCTAATAGTTATTTCACAATTTAAAACTCAGCTTCAATTTATCCATTGGGTGATTTTTTTCTTTGTGTGTAGATAATGGCCAACTTTTTCAGTGGTCTTTTTTTTTTTTTTTTTTTTTGTAATGCGCTGTCTTAGCCTTACATTACATTTGCAAATAGAAGTTAAGAAAATAAACATTATATTTTTATCCCAAAGAGAGTTTCACTTATGTTCATGTTTTACCAATAAGACTAACATATTCTGTAATTTTTAGTAGCTGCTCTATCAGATTACACAAGCTTGTTTCCATTTCTAGTGTGGTCAGATTGTTTGAAAACAAATAGATGGGTTTTTGTATTTTCAAGTTTCCCTTTTCTCTGTATTAGTTAGATGATGACTCTTGTGCATTCCAATTCTAGATATTTCAGGGACTAATAATTTGCTGGCATTTAAGGATTTGTATTTTTTTTTGTGGTTTTAGGCAATTTAATTTTTATATACTTAAAAATTTTATTTAAAATTTTCATATAGCATATTTTGTTCATATTCTTTCTCTTCCCAAAGCTCCTTCTAGATCCTCCCCTCTCCCTACCTAACCAACTTAATGTTCTTTCTTTTTCTTTAAAAAAAAAAAAAAAAGCACCCCACCCTACCCCACCCCACCCCACCCCAAACAGCAACAATAACAGAATCCCAACAACCGTGGTGTCTGTTTTGTGTTGGATGGCTACTCCTGAGCATGAGGCTTGCCTTGGAATATGGTTGATTGAAGAAAACTCATTTTCCCACTTCTTGCAGATACCAATTGCGGACAGCTTCTTGGTTAGAGGTGTGACTTCATGCCCACTTCCCCTCCTTCATGCTGAGTGCTTTGTATTTTATATCTTGTAATTGTAACATCTGAAGTGTTTAGTAGTTTAAATCTGTTGGTTATCTTTTCCCACACAGTGGCTTCTTCTCTTGCATCTGTTGTGAGATCAATATGAATCATACAGATTTAATTTTTGTTAAGCCTTTCTTTTCCTACATGGATTTGTTTCAGCTTTTGGCAGGAATTTGGGAGTGGTTTCAATTAGAGTTATTTTATATTCCTTTGAGGGTTACTACTAGGATCTCAGGATGAATACCCAAAACTTCTGAGGGTAGGGCTCAGGGGCTGGAAGGACCAGACATTTGTCCATTACAATGTTGGTGTGGGAACTAGCTCTTTGGCTCCTGCATTCTTTGCTTGTAGATCCCAGATCTTTCTTTCATCCCTTTCCTTTTCCTTTCTTGCTTCTGTCTCTTCTATTTTTTTTTTGTTTCAGTTATTTTCTCCGAGTCCTCAAAACCATGCAAAGCTTTAAGAGTTGTATTTGTTATGTCTCTTGAAACTAGTTGTTTCAAAGGTCGGAAGCCTGCAGAGACCTGAGTCCTTGCCTTCTCACAAAGGAAGTTTGATGCCTTCCTTCCTGTCCAGAGATTCTATACTGGGTAGGAAGCTATTAGGGATACATTACTATTTACAGAGAATTAGTTGCCTGTATAGAAGAACAAATATATATTATTCAAAGTGTCATAAAACTTTCACTTTGCATAGTAAATATGGGTGAATGATGAACTTGTATTTCTTTTGTTTATGCTCTATGCTCTGCTCTAGCTTTATAAGTTAGCTTGTAATTTGTATGTTTCATTCTAGGCACCAAGCAACTTCATTGCTGCTTCCTACGTTAGAAGTGGTTTATGAGGGTTCTGAGGTGAATACTCATCAACGTGTAAATAATTGAGAAAGGCTTCTTTTTAAAGTGGTAGAGTTATTAATATGTTAAATTACAGGAGCGATCCTGTTCAGGGATATTCTATAAATAAGAAATGGGTTGGAAGAAAGTAGAGAACTAAGAGAATTATGGAGGCCTGGAGGAGGACTGCGTAAGAGAGCTATACCTTCCTTGGTAAGGGGCAAAGTGCTGGGACAACTTTGGAAGTGGAAGCAATAGTTTCACAGTGTTATAAACTGCGGGACAGTACAGTGTTTTGGTGGAGTAAGTGATGGGCAACTAAGGCTGGCAGCTCAGGCCATGAGTTCCAGGCTGTAGATGGTTGTACGGAGATGAAGTCTATTTGCCTTTACTTCCACTTGGAGCACATGTACCTCTGGAAGATGACCTAGCTACCTCTACTTGTACTGTCACTTAGGATTTCTGTTCCTGTTGGTTCATGGAGATGATTATCATCCTTTTGTTTTTTTAAAATTCGTTTTATTATTATTGTGGTTATGACTAAATTTTTATTCTTCTTTGAAAAGCATTTGTCTGTCATTGCTGGTTGTTCCAAATGGAGATGTAGGATCTCAAAACACATTTAATTAACATCTTATGTAAAGGGAACGAATCTCTCCTGCCTACTTGTTTCCAAATAACCAATCAGAGGCTTAATATTATTTACAAACTGTTTGGTCTATGCTTATTGTTAGCTAGCTCTGACATCTTAAATTAACCCATTTCTATTAATCTATGTATTGCCACATGGCTGTGGCATTACCAGTCTGCTGGCATCTTGTTCCTTG